CATTCGTCTTCTTAATATCAATAATCCCATTTTATAAGTAAAATCGTGTCTTGAGCTATCCAATTTTCAAGCTTTAAGATTACATAATTTACTAACACAACATAAAGTCAATATACAGGGAAATTAAAGAAAAACTGATACATCTCAGTAATATTATGATGTAAAACATTTTTTTCCCATTTCTTCTTCCTTTTAAATAATTGTAATTTCTTCTGAACTCTTCTCTTTTGTTTAGTTTATTTCTGATAATTCATTATCCATTTGTAGACGAGAAGACAGCACCGTCAGATAGCAAAAATACCAAAAGTGAAACATCTGCTGCAGAGCAGCAGCCAGATAATCCAAAATCTCCCTCAGCCTCACCTCATGGAGGGGAGTTTCCTCCAAATCCTTTTGACTTCTCAGCAATGACTGGTTTGCTTAACGTATGCCATCTTCAATAGACCCGAATCTATGTTGAAAGGTCACTTGTAGGTATATGTATGAGTATATACATATACTTGGAGTTTCAATAGTTAATTAATTGGTACATGCATTCTTAGTTACATGTGTTAGGCTTATACATGAATCATATTTAATTAGATGTATGGTTTTGGTACTTCAATTCAATTTGAGTGGCCAACTTCTGAAACATGATAAGGGAAGTTGTTGTCATCGAGGACCATTTGTTTCCCAGAGAAAAAGAAGACTGAACTCATACTGCCAATTTTCTTTTCACGCATAGAAATATAAAAGAAAGGAACATTTTTTTTTTCCTTGCAGGATCCTAGCATTCAAGAATTAGCTTCTCAAATAGCAAAAGATCCTGCATTCAACCAGATGGCGTCTCAACTTCAGAAGACTTTTCAAGGTGCTTCTGCTCAACCGGGTATTCCTCAGTTTGATACACAACAGTACTATTCTACCATGCAGCAGGTCATGCAGAATCCTCAATTTATGACAATGGCCGAGCGCCTTGGCAATGCACTAATGCAGGTATTTCTTGTCAATTGAATTGAAATACTCTCCTGTTGTTCTCCATTCTCTGTTTACAAGAGCATGTCAACAAAACAATATGATTTGATTTTATGATTTTCCAGGATCCATCTATGTCTAGCATGCTGGAAACTTTTGCAAATCCATCAAATAAGGACCAGCTTGAGGAACGCATGGCACAAATCAAGGAAGATCCAACTTTGAAGCCTATTTTAGATGAAATAGAGACTGGTGGTCCAGCTGCCATGATGAGGTTATGGTTTCTATAGTTAATTATTTCCAATCCTGCATCAATTTTTGGAACAAATTAGTCTACTAAGAAAGAAAATTTTTAGTTCATCAAACTGCTAGTGTTGGTGACAGAGAAAGAAAATTTGCAGACCCTTCTGTTAAAGAAAGAAAATTTGCATTCTTAGGTACTGGAATGACAGAGATGTCTTGAAAAAATTGGGCGAAGCAATGGGTTTTGCAGTTCATGGAGATGCTGCCAATGCTGAAAGTTCGGTTGCAGATGATTCAGAAGAAGTGGGAAATGATGATGAATCTTTAGTTCATCAAACTGCTAGTGTTGGTGATGCGGAGGTACTTGATTGTTCATCACAATTTTTATCCTCAAGGTCCCCTTCATTATGTTCATTTGAAAGAACTATTGCAATCTAATCATCAGATGCAGACTCACTTATAGAGGCATATTATACTAGGAGTTGTCTTAATTAGTGTAACATCACCATATTTCGCAATGTTTGCATTTTAGTCTATGTTGTTTGGTTGTCATGTTTTTCTCTGCTGTTTTGTTTATGTTGTTTAATCTTAATTTAATTATTAAAATAACTTGTACACATGATTCAAAGAGTATAAATATCTTCTAATACTATTGGTAATTTCATGAGAATAGTTGAGATGCATGGAAGCTAATCTACATCCACAGTGCGAGCGTGTTTCTTTACCTCTAGATATGGAATTGTTAATCTACTGAGATTAAAAGTAAATATAGGGTGATATCATGGGATGGCACAATGTCCTTAGATGACGTAATGTAAGAAACCCATGGGGAGCTATTTCTTCCTATCATAATTAGATATTGGGTTATATCTATAATCTATAGTTTGCTGCCTGTCCTTCCCATGTGGCAATACTGCGGCTTATCATTTTTATCTTCAATCTGTTTAAAAAAAGTTTAGAAATTCTGTTGGGGATTATTCAATCAATAAATATAAATGCTGACAAAAACCATTTTTTATTTATTTATAGAATTCCATAAAGATGTTCAAATTTTATTTATAGTAAAACAAATTAATTCATTATCACTTGATAGTCTTTTCTGTTCACCTTAGATCAATTTGTATTAATAAAATTTTAAAAAAAATTATGATTATTGATTTGCCTCAACGAATTAGCTCATCTTATTTCATTTTTCAGTAAAAATGTTTCTCTCCTAAAAAAAATTGTTATCAATTTGCTTCACCCATTTGTCTATTTACAAATTAGAATGAAATAATTTGGAGTTTGTTTCATGACGAAGAATGATGGACAAGAACAAGGTGATACCCAAGGGATCAGAAATAATGTGTCTAATCCAGGTCTTATTTTTGTTTTTGTAAGGGCTTAAAAAATGCACTAGCAGCTGGTGGGAACAAGGACGAAGAAGATTCAGAGGGAAGGACCGCATTGCATTTTGCATGTGGGTATGGCGAGGTATGATTGCTTCTTGTGGGAAATTTTTTTCAAGCCTTTTTGTTATTTTGACTACGTTTCAAATACTTATGTTGAGTACATTTGCCTAGTAGTTCTGATAAATTGATGATGAAAGCTGATGAACTCACTTGAACATGATCTGTTCTATAGGTTGTAGAAATATGTCCTTAAGTTCTGGGGAAATTGATAATGAAAACTGGGAAATCCGTCTTCTTGGAAAATGCTATGATTTTATGGTGTTTTTACACATATTAGGGTGTAACATTGTCAAACATACAGCTGGGCTTTTTGCTAAATTGGTTGTGTTTGGTCTTCCAGTTAGCCAATACTTGTATTTCTTCATTTTATGCTTGATATTGGCCTGATTCAACTTCTGGTATGGGTAAATTCATAGTTACATGTGCTATCAATCAGTTTCCTATACTACAAGTTTTTTGGCATGAATTTGCCTTGTTTTTGTATTTTCTACCATGAATCTGGAAATTTTTGCCTTGCTTTTGAACTGGGGAGATATGACCAATCTTCAACGTCCCCCTCCCCTCCAAAAAAAAAAAAAAAAAAAAAAAAAAAAAAAAAAAAG